AAAGCACTATATCTATGTGACTAGAAAACAGTATAAGAAGTTAGAGGTGAATTTGGAAGTCCTTTCTTCTCTGCCTGAAGGTGATGCAGCACGATGTCTGAACTCTGTCTCTGTCTTCTCCACAGTAAAGCAAAGCAGATCAACTTCACACCATGACTTCTTGACGAAGACCTGAGAGAGATTTTTCACCATCACTGTCAGCATGAACCAATACGTTTCTCTTTTCCACAATATTTAAAACAATAGTTTTCGCCTAACTGGCAACACTACAGGTTTGCTGCTTTAAATGTCCATCACTAATATGGATTCGTCAAGAGGATTGACTGGGATTACTGCTGATTGTTTCTTTTGTTTACATTTCTTTAAAGATTAAAATATTTAATTTAATCTCGGACACATTATGTACTTGAACATGTAAAGTTATTATTAATGTTTTGTAATAAAACTTTGAACACATCATATATATATTTTCTCTTTTTATGTTTTGATTCCAGTAAAAATAATACCTGACCAGATCTAAAAATATAAAGTCAACTTTCCAGATGGTTTTGTATTCTCCTGTAAACACTTCTAGAACTTGATCAAAATTTTCTGATAAATGTTGTGAGAGATGCAAAAATGGCTGGAAAGAACATGTTGCTCCTTGACACATGTATGATTCTATCACAACCACAAATTATCAGTGCAAAAGATATTTTAAATTAAATTTAATAAAATCAGTAACATCTATTAATTATTTGAAGGACTTTAAAAAAAAAAAAAAAAAAACTGACAAACTATTACGAGCAGCCGAGGTGAAGCAAATAATGTAAAGACCAACAGTCCTGTGCTGGAGGATGAAGGTGATGTTTAAAACAAATACTGAATAAGAAGATGCTGGAAGTTTGGTGCAGGTGCAATAAAACGCTAAAAGATGAGTGTGTGAAGAAAACAGTACAAATCTACAGCCAGTGGAGAGGTGAATGTCAGCGTTGGGTCTGGGTTAAGGCAGCGTGGAGGGGAACACAGTTCCCAGTCTAAATTATGATTGAGGTTCGGTTAATGGAGCCACTAAGCAAACAGTTACATGAACCTCATTTTCAATAATGTACTTCACGAGTCAGCTATAAATGAAACTTTGGAAATCCTTGTTTATCTAAGCTACCTGAGAGCTGGGACCGTCAATGAATGAAGTGTTGCTCCTTTTGCTGCCCCCTGCTGACAGCCACTGAACAAGCACACACAAGCAGGTCAAAGCGCGTTTTGAAGAAGCCGTATGGAGGGTGAGACGGGGGAGCTGCGGCTCAAACGGCAACTTCCACTTCTGCCTGCGGACTGCTGCTGGCTGAAGGTGAGTCCATGCTAGCTAATCAGCAACACATTTATTGTGTCATAGTAAATTTGTCTTGTTTATTTTATTAATCCAGACTACAAAACACACCACAGCATCAGATGTGAAGGTGAAACTAAGTTAAGGAGCGCAGTGATAAGTAAATAACAGTTCATGATAAATAATAGTTCATCGTTGATACGATGAAATTAAAAGCTTTGTTTCCAGGTTTATTCTGGTCCAGGTGTCACAGCATCCGGTATCTGACCGGTCCGTTATTTTTGAGTACAGGCGTTGCAAGAAGTGGATAAAAAAATTAGCTCCGTACCACATTTATTTATAAGGGCTTCTTCGTTCACATATTATTATTATTATTATTATTATTATTATTATTATTATTATTATTATCAGAGCAGAAAAAGAACAGTAAAATCGAATCTAGTAAAATAAAGTTTAAGGTGTACACAGTAAAATAAAGGTAGATGACATGTGGGAAATTTTACTCACTAATTCTGTGAGCTTTTGATTTTGTTGCCTTTTTTTTGTTATCACTTTTTACACAAAATCTACAGCAGGGGTGCCCAAGTCCAGTCCTCGAGAGCCACCATCCTGCAACTTTCAGATGCATCCCTGCTTCAACACACCTGAATCAAGTGAATGGCTCGTTATCAGGCCTCTGTAGAGCTGATCCCGGTCTGTTGGAGTAAGGATACTTCTAAAACTTGCAGGATGGTAAATCTCGAGGACTGGACTTGGGCACCCCTGATCTACAGGATTCCACTAAAAACAAGAAAAATTGTATTTCTAACAGTCAAAAAGCAGCAGCACCACTTTAATAGCCTGTTTCCTTTAAAGTTTCAAAGGTAATCTTATGGTGGAAAACTGTGGATTCAGTTAATATCCAGGTTTTGTTGCAGAAGCTCTCGGCTCTGGAGAAGGCTTTAGTTATAAATGTGGAGCATCCAGAGTTCGGCTTCAAATGGTTAACTTTTATTTGATCAGAACAAAGCAGTCATTGCTTCACAGTGGTAATCTTCTCATCATTGCACATTTTGCTTTGATTCATTTCACTTTGTGCTTCTGTTTTTCTGTTAGCATCATAGAAATCAGCTTGGAGCTTTTCCAGCTGCTAAATGACTTCTAATACAGGAAGTTACAGGTCCCGGCTGGCGGCTTCCTCCTCAGTTTGAAATCTACTCGGTCAGAAGCAGATCAGGATCTAATTAGTGAACTTATCCTGCTAAGTGTTGATCTTCTGGTTCTGAGTTGGTTCCTGTGAAGGGCCACTATGTTAAACTGGTCTGGACTGGAAAGCACAGTGGAAGTTGTTCCAGTTTTTTCACATTCAACCTCCTCTTCAGGAGGAATTTATGGTCTGATTTTCAAATTTATAGTTTGTGTGAAAAAGACAAATATTAGATCAGTTCTTGTGTGTGCAGCTTTCCTATCTTTGTGTGTATTCTCCGAGGTGCACCTTTATTTTGGATCAACAAGTTTCAGAACAACATTTCAGAACCTTGTATTGAAACGTGTGAGCAGACTGAAGGCTTTCTTTTGAATTTGTCCATATGGAGGAATGAGTGCCGTGGGGGTGGGGCAGCTGGTGCTGTGCTTCTTAACCTCCTTAGCTAGGTGATTAGCGGCTTTACTTCTAAATCTGGAGGCAGAACCTGTTCCTGTCCATGCTGAGCTGTGCTTTGTATCATCACCATCCGCTTTTAATGAGCACAATTAATTAGTTTCCTTCTGTACCTTTGTTTTACTTCCCTCATTAAAGCAGTGGAGCACAGAGTAACTATTATATTTTGCAGTTGATACCACATGTTTACCTACACTGTGTAAAGACCTTACCTTACTGGTGTTTCTCTCTCGTATTGTTTTAAATCAGTAAGGATTACACACATCACTTCCAGGATTTAAATTGTAATGTTCTGTGGAGTGGAGTTCAGTTTAAACAACCACAGACCTGCAAGTTTTCACCAGATGCTCCTTTAGCTTCCTATCTAAAGGAGCTTCTTTGTTAAAATCTGTTATTGATATTTTATGGGCACAAATTCCACTTATGCATATTTTGTTTCTGTAAATCAGACTGTGGATTCAGACGGTTTTATAACCTTGTAAAACGTTGTAAACCTTGTCGATAGATGCGTGTGAAATGATCCATGGTATGTAAATCTGGGATCGTAAATCAGAATGTTTTGTTGTGAATAAATGTTGCCTCCTTATAAATCAAAATGTCTGAGAATTTTTGAAAGATTTGTTCTCATAAAAATAATTACAGGAGTTATAATGTTGTCTGTTAATGTCTGTTTATAGATACGAGGCAGAATAGCTCAGCTAACGACTACACTATCTGATAAACAAGGACAAAATGTATAAGACTGGAATCTGTGCCCATAATTCTTAACCTGTGAAGCTTTTGGATGTTTTCCTTACACCTCAACAAGTTTCCTCCTGATTTTGCAGCTTACTTTAAGTTGAAAAACACATTCAGGGTAGCAGCTGTGAGCATAGATGGCTCTATTTCTTTCTCTTAGTCTCCTGTTTCAGGACCATTTCTCTGCTCTGTTTTCGGTTTGGTGACTTCCTGTCCAGTTGAGGTAGCTGGAGTTGAACTTTGATCATTGATCATAGTCTGCAGTTTAACCCATTCTCTTAAACTGTCAAAATAATTCCATCCTCTGTTCCCCTGTCACTGCTAGGAGTTCTTCCCTCACTTTGTTTTTTTTTCTTTCAGCAGCCCTACCCCACCACCTCCAGGACATATCCTCCAGCTTCTGACTACATCACCAGCAGCTTCATCTCCTAACCTCGGATCAGCTGTTTTCTAGTTCTTTCATTTGTCACTTCAACATCAACTTACATACATGTTAGTTCACCTCTGTCCTCCAGGTGGCAGCATTGTGCCTAGTTTTCCAGGTTCCATAAACAACAACAGAAGAGATGAAGCCATGAAAGTGAGCTGACTGAGAGAACATCCTAAATCCTCAGACCATCATGTTGACGCAAGTAAGTTTGAACTCAAACTTCACCTGGTTTGAACAAAGATTTGGTAAATTTACTGTCATAAGCATTGTTTGTATTTTGTAACTTGTGAAAATGATTAGAAAGTGAATGAGACATTATAAAGTTTTACACAAGTTTTACTAGACACAAAAAGCCAAATGCTCTCTAAGGAGTATTTTCTGTAAAGCACTGTAGGTCTTAAAAAATATTAAATATGACATTTAAAAATCTGAAATGGTCATTATTTTGTTTGTTTGTTCTTGTATTGAACTGCTTCTCAGATGTAACAACATTTAGTCAGTGGATGACTTCTCCAGAAAGCTAACAGACAGGTACTGTCTCCTACTGAATCAATGAGGAAGCATTGTGTAGGATCTATGCTAAATTTGTATGTACAGCCAAACGCCGAAAACGGCAGAGAAAAAAAAAAAAGGAAACCATGGGGTCAAAGGCAAAGAGACACAATTTCACAGAGACAGAAATATTCTGGTGAGTGACGCAAGAAGTAAAAATATCTCAGTTTTGGTAATCACAGGTGTGAGCGCTCAACTGTATAGTCCATTTGTACATCAGGTCTGAAAAATTAGAATTTCCTTCCTGGTGTTCCCCTTACCAAGGTCTCCCAGCCATGCCAAATTATGCACCAGTGTCACTGTATTTACTTGTTCAGTCTGACTGCCTCACACCTTCTCACATTTTATGTGTTAATATGTGGTTACCTTGTACCCAAATGTTGAGGTGTAGCTGGGCTTCATAAAGGGAAAATTGCTTTCCGGTGTGCATGTGCATGGTTTTATAAATCTGGATCATTTTTGGCATCTGCCATTTTTTACTTTTAGGCATAGGTGCACTTTTTGTATAGTTCCTACACAATGTCTTATGAATGAGACCCCATGTCTGTGAACGTTTGTCCTCTTGTGTATGTTCTTAGAATGATAGCATGTGATTGTTAACAGTGTCAGATGAGATCAAAGCAAATGTCCCAAAGCCTGTTGATGAATGGAACATGGCTGTATTTGGAATTACCAATGTACCTTCACATATTAGTGTTTGTCTCACTTGAAATCTCTTTAAACAAGAGGTCTGATCCAGTAATTGATTGATTTAAAGTTCCACTATCCAGCATGGCCAAAAATGCTCGACTGCCGTTAACTAATGCAGCTTGGCATTGAGCCATAATTCTGTTGGTGGTTTCTTCCTGTTGAACAGGGTAAACAGGGTAATGGCTACATACATTCTCAGAATGAGACATTGCTGTCAAATTAAAGACTCAATGCATTTGAGTATTCAAGAGTGATTACATGAAGGTGCAATGAAGGAGCAACGAGAGGCGTGATGAGTGAGTCTAACTCCTGGTCCGTCATGTCTTTGTTGTAACAATGCTTCTTGGTAATGAATCCTATCCTCTTAGCTTGTTCATGTCCCTTTAAATTGTGCTACATTTGAAAGGAAAATGGATTGTGGATAGGGTTTTCTCTATTCTCCATGTAGCTCATTTGTTTGTTGATTTGTATTTTTGTTGTTTATTGGATTGGATGATTGATATTCAGTGAAAATTGTGGTAACAATTTATTCACTTAACAAAGAGGAGTATCAGCAGTGGTTGGGAAACCACACACAACCACAACGACCTGCTACCTCCTCCTGGTCATTAACTTGGCATACCACACCTCAACAAGTGTTTGACTTACTCATATCAATGTGCTTGTGCTGTTCATTCTGGCATGTGCAAACTGACACCAGTGTTCAGAGTGATTAACATCAGGACTGCAGGCAGGCAATTCCATCTCTTCCACTCTACATATCTGGAGATCGTTTCTGTTCTTCATGCCTGACATCAAGCCCTGACATCCTGAAGGACAGAGTCTGATGAAAAGGTAGAGAGGATTGCTTTTGGTTGCAGAGCCTCATCTCAGGATCACTGCATTGAAATAGCCTACTTCTTTTTATGGGGGATGGCAGAGCACTGAGAGCACTGACGCTATTGCGCCCTCTACATGGAGGAGATGGAGGGGATAGATTGTTTTCACAGATTATCTGTCTCATAACAAACTGTCACAACATCGTGACAGCTTTAACAAATGTGGAGAAAACATATTTTTTTATTAAATTCATATACGGCAGCTTGAATGAAATGCAACTACATAGCATTTTTTGAGAAGTCTGGATTGCTTTGTATATTTTGCACGTTTTTTGACTGTTGCTTGTGGGGAGAGACATTTCAGTAATAGAAAAATGTAAGCAACCTACTTGCATACCGTATGTGAACTGTTACATGTAAAATTCATGAGCAGTGAATATTGACCTAGTATCAGTATTGGACCAAAGAAAGCAAGGCAGTTGCAAGCCTTTAAAACTGAGATGCTTTTTGTGGGTCAAATAGACTCAAGAAATTGTAACAGCAGCTGCGCAGAGGGGCCCAATCTAATTTTTTGTCACAGGGGCCAAGATTTCTGGCGGCGCCTCTGGGTTGAACAGATGATGACCCTGGTGTAGTTTGTCTTTGCTGATGTTTTAGGTCAGCCATAGCTGACACTACGTCACACAGACACCACCTGATGTGCAGCAATCAGAGCATGCAGCCTGGCCATAGGTTGGGATGCTTTTAATTGAGGTGCAATAAAAGTTTACTAAATCATGCTCTTATGTACCACAAGAAATATAAATTGAACGTTGAGCTCTCCATCACAGTTCTGGATTATATCCGACCTGTTTGCTGTTTCATGCATAACCAAGCAGCAAACTGTATACATGTTGCTGAGTGTGTCTGGATAGATTCATCTATCTGATGTGGTTGGAAAGTTCACTTAAAAATTCTATGACATTTTAATGTTTTCACTCTTTTTTATAATATATAGTTAATTATTTTATAAATTTCCATGTGAATAACTGTAATAAAAAGCTCAGAGCACTTTGACAGCTATGGCGTTTTAAAGACTTGAGTAGTTTTATTATCACATGAACCCACTTATGTTTTGGCTCCACTCTGATGAACTACCAGTGGAAAACTGGCCCACTGGGCCAGAGGCCTGATTTAAACCCGAGGACCACAAACACAGCCTGGGAGTCATACAGACTTTCTACAAAAAGTCAATGATAAGCTAATCTATATGGAGCTAAAACTGTCTCATAATTCACAAATGCACAGACTAAGATTCACAAATGCAAAAGATTCACAAATGCACAGGATGAGATCCACAAATGCCACATATGCATACAAGATCCACAAATGCTCCATAAATCTATAATGGACATGACAATATCAACACTTAAATAAGACACTTGATGTAGGTTTCTTCTTTGGAGCTGAAGAAATTGAAATAACTTAAAGACATTACATATTTTCAGCCTGCAGGGCACTGGCAAACAAAGAAAACGCATTGTAGTAAAGCTGAGCTCTGGAGCTCTACAGTTTGTATTAACAGTTCTCAGTATTAATTAAGATAAAGTTTTTTTTATCATTAAAGCAAAGCATCTGTTGTATTTTCTAACCAAAATGACTGCAATGTGGGTACTGGCAGCTATGAAGATAACTCAGTATGTCACAATATTCATCACAAAATATTGGAAAATAATGAAGTTTCAAAGGGGGAATAAATAGGGAGATGGGGTTCAAATGACTAAATAAATAAAGATGATCAAGGAATAAAATATGCCTTATACATGTTATACACACTATCAGTGGAAAAATTTAAGGCTGGTTAAGAAAATTATAATTATGAGAATAAATAGGAGAAACATTGTACAGTAACGTTGAAAGAATAAGATAAAGTGGTAATATGAAAATGAAGTCACACAAAAAATTATTGTAAAAAAATAAAATGAGGAATGTTGAGCTGTTTTCAACTTTGGTATCATCTTACAAAGAAGAAAATAATTAATCTTTTATCAGAGTTAAAGTATTATCAGTAGCAGGACTGTGATACCTGAGTGAAGTTGGCCCCCCCACCTTCTTCAAATCAGACAAATGGGTGTCAATCAACTCGGCTATGTTTGTGTTGATTTGTGCAGCAAAAATTGTTTGTGCTGCTTTGGCTTTGAAGATATTAATGAAAGTGTAAAGGTCAAAAGGTCAACCAGCCCCCCCACTTTTATGAAATCCAACTTTCTTTATATCTTTAAAATGACAGCGGCACAAACGAAAATTTTTGGAGCACAAACCAGCACAAACGTAGCACAAACGTTTGACACCAATTTTGTCTGATTTGAAGAAGGTGGGGGGGCCAACTGTGATCCAGCTGGGGGGACTTTGGCTTATTCTGCTTCAAATCCAGGGCGGGCACGGCTGACCCTTGGCGGGCCCATGCCGCTGGGCCTGCCGGTGTTCTGCTGTGAGAGGCCGGTTAAACAGCTTTCAAATTCCAGGAACCACAAGTACTCCCCGAACAGGTCCCGTCAAATATTTCAGAACTCTATCTAAGCGTTTTTCCTCATTAAAGCCATTTTTTTCTTGTAGTTTTACAAAAGTCTTATAGTGGTATTTCGTCTTTATTTATTCCCAAAATATTACGACTTAAAAAAATAAGTCTTAGTCTGACCGAGGGGAGTTCTCTTCTGCAGTAAGATAATAACTGCAGAAAACCTCTGTGTAAAATCTACACTTGCTCTTCAACATGTAGCCAACATTTACTCCTAACGTCTGAATAAATCGTAGCCACAGGATTCAGTGCAAAATTTCCGTGTTTGGTTAACAACCAAATACGTAAAGAGCGTTTTATTTTGACAACACCGGAAGTCGTCTGCAGTCTCCCGCATCTATTTCTCTGGCTGTCAGTCTTGGCCGTCGGCATATTAGGTTGCAGAGCTCCGTTTGCTCTCAAAGAAAGTTCCAGTGGTTTTGAGTGAGGACCGCGGGGGAATCAGCGCTCCGGCTCCGTGTGGCTGAGCGGGGTTTGCTCTGATTCCATGGCCTGTACTGGCGGTGGACCAGCTGCTGCTCAACACTCCGAGATGCTCCGAGTTCTCCGCAGCTGCACAGTGACACCGGCCCGGGGACTCAGCGATGTTTTTCAGACGGAGAGCCAGGTAACGGTGATCCGGTCCGACCGCACACTGGCAGAAATGCGGGGGGCGGGGGAGGGGGGGAGGAGGGAATGTGAGGCTGAAAGCCGAGCGGAACGACGGCTTCTGGATGCAGTGATTGAGCCTGAGAGGAGTGGAGGGGCCGGCTGTGGTCGTGTAGAGGAGGGGGGATGGAGGAAAGAAGGAGGAGATGTGGGTGGAGGGCTGGAAGGGCCCCTCACACACAAAGGATTTTCTTCTGATATTCCTTCCATCTCATGGATCAGCTTCGTGCAGATGCAGCCTGCCGGTGTGTGTGTGTGTGTGTGTG